TCCATTGATATAGTCACTACATACGAATTAATCCTCCATAAACGGTTCATAATTAAAGTTAGGTATTTTTCGTTAACCTTTTTAATTATATCTTTCTCCATAAGTACTATTGATCCTCTAATGAATAATATATTTTATGATCCAATCATAAAATTGAGCGCTCTTATTATTCAAGTCCCGAATCAACACTTATGGGAACCGTCCATCTACTTCATTATGAAGGCATGGATTTCATCTCGTAAATTAATATTCCCGGCTATTTATTTTACTATGCTCCCAATATACCAAGACTTTAACACTATTCACATGTGTCATTACTCAATATGTCAAAGAACATAATATCATAAATAGGAGTTTATTAATTACTCAGAATTAAGATTAATACATATATGACCATCATTGATTAACATTGAATACTCTATTTAATAACAGAATTTATTAGAGATTCATAATTAATCGCGTTCCAGTCCTATGTAATCATATTACATAAAATGCTTTCATTCCAATAATCTCATTATTAACAATCTAGGATAAGATTGTTTCATTCAGAATGTAATGAACCGCATTAGTAATCTTAAATTAAAGATCCAAACTTTAATTTATAATTACGGACAAGTTTAGATTATTTTATTTCAAACATTATCCTCTGCATATAACACTTATATACAATGTTTAAAGTTACATCTAAAATAATCTAGGGATTTTGATATTTATAAAACATCACATGCATGCAAAATAATATTGAAAAAATTCCTAATATTGAAAAAATTCCTCATTTCATTGATAATCAGCAAAATATTTACATCTTATTTGATTTATGGGCATATATCCCAACAATCTCCCACTTGCCCTAAAGTAAATGATGCATGTCTCTAAGTCCCATATTTTCAAGATGTCTCTCAAAACTCCCAGCTGGTAATGTTTTGGTAAACGTATCAGCTATGTTGTTCGCGGATGCGATCTTTTCAACTGAAATGTCTCCTCTAGAAACAATCTCTCTGACTAGGTGGAATTTTCGCTCTATATGCTTTCCTTTGCGGTGGTTCCTGGGCTCCTTGGCATTGGCCGCTACTCCACTGTTGTCACAATAGAGTATGATAGGCTCATGCATATTTGGAACAACTTCCAATTCCTTCAGAAATTCACGAAGCCAGACAGCTTCCTTAGCTGCTTCACAAGCTGCTACATACTCAGCCTCCATGGTTGAGTCAGCAATACAATATTGCTTGATACTCCTCCATATGATGGCTTCATTTCCCAAAGTGAACACTGCCCCTAAGGTGGACTTGCGAGAGTCCCTATCCGACTGAAAATCAGAATCAGTATATCCAATAGGAATCAAATCCCTACCAGAGTATACAAGCATATGGTTTCTCGTCCTCCTCAAATATTTGAGTATGTGTTTGACTGCAACCTAATGATCTAATCCTGGGTTTGACTGGTATCTGCTAACCAACCCTACTCCATAACATATGTCAGGTCTAGTACATAGCATTGCATACATCAGGCTACCAACTACCGATGCATAGGGAACTCGTCTCATATCCTCTTCTTCTTGAGGTGTCTTTGGACACTGCTCCTTGGAGAGATAAACTCCATGTCGAGAAGGCAAATTTCCTTTCTTGGAGTTTTGCATCGAAAATCTGACAAGCACCTTGTCAATATACGATGCCTGAGACAATGCCAAAAGTCTATTCTTGCGATCCGGGATTGGATCCCAAGAATATAGTTGGCTTCTCCCAAATCCTTCATTTGGAATTGGCTGGCTAGCCAGTTCTTTACTTTGCATAACGATTCTACATCATTCCCAATTAGCAGAATGTCATCTACGTAAAGAACCAAGAAGACCACTTTATCTCCTTGAATTTGTTTGTAGACACAAGGTTCACCAATATTTTGTTCAAAGGCATAAGATTTTATAGCTTCGTTAAATCTGATGTTCCAAGATCTAGAAGCTTGCTTTAGTCCATAAATGGACCTTTGCAATTTGCAGACTTTCTGCTCTTGGCCTTTTACCATGAAACCCTATGGTTGGACCATATGAATGGTCTCTTTAAGATGGCCGTTCAGAAACGCCGTCTTGACATTCATTTGCCATATCTCATAGTCCTAATAAGCAGCAATGGATAAGAGTATGCAGATGGATTTTAGCATGGCTACAGGGAAAAAAATATCCTCATAGTCTACTCCTTCCTTTTGGGTAAAACCCTTTGCAACCAATCTTGCTTTGAACATTTCAACTTTTCCATCAACTCCTCTCTTTGTCTTATAGATCCATTTGCAACCAATAGGCTTAACGCCTTCTGGTAGGTCTACAAGCTCCCAGACAGAATTGGAGTACATAGACTCCATTTCAAGTTTCATGGCTTCTTGCCATTTTTCTTGATCAATATCATCCATTGCCATCCTGTTTGACAATGGATCATCTTCACTGCCATCGGTGACTGCAACATTTGTTTCTCCATTTTCACGATAGCAGGTTGGTAATCTTATTTCCCTCCCACTGCGTCGTGGTGGCGGTGGTGTTTGATCATGGTCAGTGGTCTCCCTTCTTTGTCGTCCAACAACTGTTGTCGGCATGGGGCTAATCTGATCAGCCAGCAACTCTTCCAGAACTATCTTACTTCTGGACTTGAAATCTGCCATATAGTTATGCTCAAGAAACGTAGCGTTTGTCGATACAAACACTTTGTTATCCTGAGGACTATAAAACATACCTCCTCTTGTTCCTTTTGGATAGCCCACAAATATACAGACTTCCGAGCGAGGTTCCAACTTCCCAGTCTTTCCCTTCAACACATGTGCTGGGCACCCCCATATACGAATGTGTCTCAAACTAGGTTTGCGACCATTCCACAACTCTAGGGGTGTTATGGGGATTGACTTAGATGGAACTAAGTTCAGAATGTATACTGCTGTTTGTAATGCATATCCCCAGAATGAAGTGGATAAAGAAGA